CTTAGATACAATTTTAAGAGCTAACCAATCCACAACAACCTGAGTCTTCTCAGGGTCTATTTCCACCCTTTTTGCAATAACAACATGGGCCAAGTAGTGAATCATAAATTGTCCAATTGAGCATCTTCCTAACTTAGCAAAGAGTTGGTGTTCTACTAAGCATTCTAATGCTAGCTTCAAGTGATTCAGATGTTCTTCCCAGTTGGAAGAATACACAAATATGCCATCGAAAAACAACAGTATGAATAGCCTTAAATAAGGTTGAAACACATTGTTCATAAGTGATTGAAATGTTGCAGTCACGTTAGTGAGCCCAGACCGCATGACTAACCACTCACAATGCCCATGGTGTGTGTGAAATGTGTCTTGTGTCGGTCTTCTCTGACCAGAATCTAATGGTATCTAAAGCGCAAATCCAACTTTGAAAAGTAGCAAGTAGCCTTCAATTCATCCATGGTTGGAATTGGACATGAGTGTAATGGTGCTCCTAAATTAGGAGACTAATTAGCTCACTAACCATGGATTAACCTAAGAAGACTATCCAAGAATGATTAACCTAACCCAACTCAACTTGTATTTTCTTTTCAAAAGAAATATGTTCCAAAATTCATACCAAAATGTGATCCCAGTTTTTCATCATCTAAATACATCAACAATTCACTAATAATATAAAAGCATGGGATCAAGATATTTTGAAAAAAATTGCATAGCATCTAATCATCATCACAGCATATTCACATGCAATCTTACTAGATGCCATCACATATAAATCCCACATATACATACTTGACAACCTCAAGTCATATTCACATGCTACAATGAGCTTACTCTTCACATGTTCATCTATTTAACTCATAACAAATTTCGTCCAATTCACCTTTTGCTAATTCAAAAGCTATGCGATGTCATTGCATAAATTAAACAAGTGTATCATATATCCATGCATAACCAATTCGACTCATTTGCACTAGTATTTTGGCCATCTAAATTTAACCCATACATATTACAACAAGCCTAGGGCCCAAAATACACAACCACCACATTGCAAAACCCATAATGTAAGTGACAAAAAATTAAATTCTCTAGTTGGTAATATCAAAAGTAATTCATACACATAAACTTAAAACAAACATAGCCTACAAAAGTCTCTAGGCTTGTCTCTCTTTTCCTCTTTCCCATTTAGATGAGCTAGCACCCACAAAATATTGAAGAAATAAAGGTGAGTATAACTACTCAGTAATTAAAGTACATCTAACACACATAAATGTATGCCAAGCAATTATAAATGCAAGTGGCCATTTTTAACATTAACATTCATACAAGTGATTATTATCAATTCATAAGATCATTTAACAAGTATATAGCATATTTAGGCATAATATGTCACAAATCAGTCATGATAAACATATTCAACTTCCCTATAGCCTACAAGCCATTATACTCAATTAGGCCCACAAGCCTTTATTCTCGTAATGCCACACTTCCCACATGTTATTCATAATCAAAATTATGTACAAATGATTTTCAAATATAATGCATAATTAATGTTCTCCTTATAGCCTCCTTATACCTTCAGACATGAAATTTGTGAGCTTAGTCAGTGGGTTAGTCTATGCAGGAGACTACCCTAAGCCAAATCCAATTAATGAAGACTCATCGGGCTAGGGTTATGTCAATCACTAAAGGAACACGGTTTCCTTAAGCCACAACCAATAGGGTGTCCCCTCCCATGCTAGCCTCACTCTAACAAAAATTAATGGGCACAATGTTATTACGGACTAGTTACTCTACAAAGTAACTTTGCTACAATGCACAACAATGGAAGAAGGGCCTACAACCCCACGAGTCCAACAATAGTAGCTAATGTACCATATGGAATTTGGGTAAATCATAACTTCCTTTATTAAGACAAACTCCTGCTATATGATCATGCCATGCAAAGGTCAATTAAACAAGGCCATAACCCTCTTTCATAGACTTTGCATACATGCTCATATTTCAAATCATAACATCATATACATATCAACATACAGTCTCATTTATCAAACCATTTCAATTTTACAATTAATAATCAAGCCATAATGCACAATATAGCCTATATATATATATATATATATATCAAGTCATTAGCTTCAACATAGTCAATTTTCACAAGTTTAAAGCCACCCATTGCATTTAATATAAATATGATATCTCAATACCATTTTTTGTTTTATGTAAATAATTAACTAACACACAATTGTACATATTAAATTTTTCTCGATTACTTCAAACGTTTGAGAAATTAAATGTTATCCCTCTAGTTATAACACTTTTAAAGTTTTTCTAAGCTTGATTGGTGTCAAATAACAATTAATTATATTACATGTCAATAGCATCATCAACACAATACACACTCATGTTCCAACACTTGAGCATTTTCAAGACCTTAGTTTTAATCCTTTGAATTTTAAAAATTTAATTTCATATTTTTGAACCTATTTACTTGGTTCATTAGTTTTTTTTTAACTCACATTAGTTCATTGAAGTTGTAGCCAAAATTAAAATTAACCTTCAGACAATTTTTTAATAATAAAATTTTCTTTTCTATATCATAAATTCGTACATAAAAATATTAAAAAATTGCAAACTTAATCTCAAACTTATAATCATCATTATATAGCTTTAATACTTTGTTGCTACTCCCAAATAATCCTCTAATAATTATTAAATCAACTTATAATTTCTGATTTACTAAAAATCTAACATAGAAGTCTAGGATTTTACTCAACTTTCAAATTTAAATTTCATTAATAAAATAATATTTAAAATATTCATTATATTTTTAACAATATTAACAACTATATTTATTCATCGTAAATTCATTCTCTTTCAAACTCTTAATTTTTCATAGCCATAAAATCAAAAACTTAAAAGAAAAGATGATTAAAAAAAATATTTTAGGCATTTATATAGTCTTCAAAGACTTGAAGTCTCACTCAAAATATCCTGTTACGAAGCCTTGGATAAAATTTTTCTTCCCGTTGCGCGCACGCTCTGTTTTCGTTTTCCTCTCTGTGGGATGCCGAAGAAATGAAAGAATGAAGAACAGGAGTGTGTGTTTTTAATTAGGCGTGGGTCCTACACTTCCTTTCATTTTTTTTTCATATATATGTACGCCAAACACGCACTGACACACACAAGAACGGATTGGAAATCCGTCCCCCATCCCCCTTCTCTTTCTTTTTTAAATAAATTTATCTCCACTTTCTTTCTTTTTTTTTAACGATAATAATAATATTATTATTATTTTTTATTTTTTAAAAAAATCATAATTTAGGATTTATTTTATATTAGATTCAATAATACTTTCCTAATTAAAATTATTTATTTTTAAATATTGTTCTAAAATTATCCATTTTAATTAATTTTGAATTAAATTTTGTAATGTTACAGTGAGTCCTCGATGGTGACAATATTTAAGGCTCTATAATAAGTTCAAAAACCTCAACGTTCCATCCTTCATTTTAACCAATAGCATAAAAGCTGAACACGGACTCGTGCTTAGTCTGATGATTCCCTCTTCCAGCATTTCCTATTGCTTCTGGTTGAAGGGATTTCTATAGGGTCTAACCTTAATAGGAGGTGCTCCCTCTTGAATTGGGATAGCTAATCATGACTCCTCTTTGGTTGGAATCCCCTTGGAATTTCAAACACCACTTGGTATTAAAGCAACAACTTTGCCCGGTCAGGAGGATTATCGATAGGCAAATCTAAAGATGGAGGTGTCAATCAACTCATAATTATAGGAGAAAATTAGCTCAATGATCTAAAAAATACAGCTCTCATAAATTATGAATAAAATTTTTAAATATTTTAAAATATACTCATTCATAAAATCAATTAAATATATTTTACTTTTTTATCATTAGATTAAATTTATTATTAAAACATAATATATGTATTGTAACTAATTTTTAACTGACTGAATCTTTTATTTTTTTCTCTGAATCATTTTTTTTTTAAATATAAATTGCTAATGTCTTTTTTCATCGTAAAGCTTCTCTTCTCTCTCCTTTGTTTTTCTCATAAACACTATGAAGATGACATTAGATATTGAAAAGAAATTTTCATTCTAAAAGCAGAAGACTAGGTTAAAATCTATTATCTGTCATTAGATTTTCACCATTTTCACATCTCTTGGTAATATTGAATTTTTTGCATACTGTGTTTAATTCATTTTGAGCAAATGATTATGTATTTTTCATGTTATTGATATGTGATACTACATCATTGAGATATATATATATATATATTTATAAATTTATATCTGATTGTCTAGTTATATTAATCTGTGATAGTATTTCAGTGATATATAACAATATATCAACAATATAGTATAGCGAATCAGTAATACAAAAAATACATAATCATTTACTCAAAATGGATCAAATACAATCCACAAAAATTTTTGGACTCTTAACTTATCATAGAAAGTCAAATACCTAAACTAGTAAAATAAAAAATTATGAATCTGTAGCTCCATGTTTTTGCCAACGTGCTCCGTTCCGTCAAATATCGATGATGTATCTTATCTCGCGTTTGTCTCTTGTAGCTGTAACTGTGGCTCACTCACACTACTTTGCTGTCTCACATTCTCTTCTGTCTAATTTCATCTTCTCTCTTGTTCCAAAGAATTTTTTACATTTTGAATCTTTTAATACTTGAAAAAATTAGATATTGAAAGGACATTTTTGTAAATTAATTATAAATTAAATATTAAAAAGATTATTTTTAAAATTTAATAAAGGATAGATTATTTTTTTATTTAATTTTATGATATGAGTTATGTGTGCAAATGTCTCTTGTAACACCCTCAAATTTACAAACCGATTTTTCGCAAGTTATTAATTCAAGAAATCATTTTTTTTTTTTCATTGAACCCTTATCATACCCTTATCATGGTAGAAAAATTTCTACCATGATACATCCAAGACAATATACCACAGGTCTTGAAATATCTCAAAAAGCAATTAGAACCATGAGGGACAGACATGATCCTCATAGCATGTTATTTAAATTAGGTCATGAATCAAAAGGGACAGACATAATCCTCTTGGACATATAAATGCATTTAATAAAAAGGATTAGAGTTTACATGCTCCATAGACAAGATATGTCCTAAGTTGGTACAAGATACATTGTATAATTCAAAATAAGAGGCAACGTAAAAGATGGTGTCTCATACACCATAATTACACCTCTGGTGCTTTCTCGGCCGGATTCGCTCCTGTAAAAATATTAACCACGGGGAATGAGACTTAAAAGTCTCAGTAACCAAAAATTAATATGTAATGATGCATGCGAATGTAACTAATCATGCGATTGCTAAGTGGGCACACAAAACATTTAACCGAACAATATTTTCAAACAAACCGAACAAGTATTTAATTGCATGACTGCACCTTATATCCTCCTTTCACCATGCTCGGACGCCAAATCACCCGGCCAAAGGTGAGTTGGACCAAGCGACACGCCACTCATTGGGTCCAATGAGGGCTTACCACGTGGTAATAATTAACCGAACAGAAATTCCCATTAACACCATACATTAAAATACCCTGACAAGTCATGCATCATTCAAATATCCAAACAGGAATATATCCGAACAATAATATCTCATCATGATAAACAAAAATAAATTTTTAACCCACTTGGCAATAATTTCAAACAAGTATATACAGTATTTATTTTCAATAATTCATAATTTTTCCAAACAACAAAACAACACATAACCATTCACAAACACACTCATCACAACACATTAATAATGGTTACCTTGTGTCTTGAATAACAAGTTCCCCTTCACAACTCCTTTTTCACCACTATCTTTGTCAATATAATCTACATAATTATTTCACAATACTATATATTAATTTTACATTAAAATAAATAACTCTAATTTAAAGAGTTAGAAAGTCTTAAATCTATAGTCCATATTAACACTAATTTAAGATTTATGCCTTATTTAACTTCCCAAATTCTTTTCTAAAATTCTCGTACCCTAATGAACTATTTTTTTTTATCCTCAATTCACTTCTAGTATCACAATTTCATCCTTCTACATTCTAAAAATTCATCCAAAAATAAATTAAAAATTTTAGAATTATCCTGAAGCCTCAAATCTCCTTTCTATAACCTCAAAAATACCTATTCATACTTAAATAAATATTTAATAATCATAGATTTATCCCTACATCTCAGATTCCACATAAATTCAACCATATAGATCTAGATTTTAACTCAAAAATTCTTAAACATGAGTTTCAACCTTAAGAAAATATTCTATAATATTTACTATATCCCTAAGAATTTTAACCTATATTTTTAATCCATCATATCATCAGATTAACTATCCTATAGAAAAATCCTAATCAAAATATTTACTCTATCCTACAAAATAATCATATCACTAGAAAGCTAATATTATTTAGAAAATAACTATAAAATTAATTTTGTAATTAAATAAATTTTTAAATGCTAATCTAAACAGGAAAGTTAGAACATACCTGAAGAAAAAAGAAAATAATCCCCCCTTGCGAGAAAACGCCGAGCAACGTGAGAGGAAGAGAGAAAAATAATATAAAAATGGGATTGTGAGTCCCAAAATTATATTAAAAAAAAACTATAGGTTTGAATTTAATTATTCAAACCTTTGGGCCCAAAGTTGCAATTTTCTCTAAATTGCATCTTAGCCTCTCATGCTTCCTAATGCACACACCCCCTCCTTTTTATACATGAAGGCACCTCTTCTCTTCCCTCATCTAACCAATGTGGGACTTAGAAACAACAACCTTCCACCCCCCCTTTTTTTTGTTCTTTCTACCTTCTCTTTTTTTTTTTAACACACACATAAAAAAAATTATTTATGTATTATATCTTAACTAAATATTGCTTATGTGGTTTTAAATTTAAATTTTTAAATTCATAATTAAATACCTAATCATAATATTATTTCTAAATAACCTCAAATAATATAAATTCCTATTATTATCATTTTTTTTTCCTCAAAACCTAAATTCCACAATTTCTTTATTATATAAAAATCAGGATGTTACAATTATATGTAACACCCTCAAATTTACAAACCGATTTTTCGCAAGTTATTAATTCAAGAAATCATTTTTTTTTTTCATTGAACCCTTATCATACCCTTATCATGGTAGAAAAATTTCTACCATGATACATCCAAGACAATATACCACAGGTCTTGAAATATCTCAAAAAGCAATTAGAACCATGAGGGACAGACATGATCCTCATAGCATGTTATTTAAATTAGGTCATGAATCAAAAGGGACAGACATAATCCTCTTGGACATATAAATGCATTTAATAAAAAGGATTAGAGTTTACATGCTCCATAGACAAGATATGTCCTAAGTTGGCACAAGATACATTGTATAATTCAAAATAAGAGGCAACGTAAAAGATGGTGTCTCATACACCATAATTACACCTCTGGTGCTTTCTCGGAAGTGGATATTTGTTCTTGATGGTTACTTTGTTCAATTGTCTATAATCAATGCACAATCGGAGGCTTCCGTCCTTCTTCTTTACAAAAAGGACTGGAGATCCCCAAGGTGAAACACTCGGTCTGATGAAACCCTTCTCAAGTAGCTCTTCGATTTGCTTTTTCAGTTCCGCTAACTCTGAAGGGGACATCCGATAAGGAGCCTTAGAAATTGGCCCTGTACCGGGTACCAATTCAATTGAGAACTCTACCTCGCGCTTTGGGGGTAAACCGGAGACTTCGTCTGGAAATACATCCGCAAATTCTTTGACAATTGGGATATTCTTCACGCCTTCATCAATCTCAGCTTGGATAGAGAAGAAAACCATGTAGGCCTGGCAACCCTTCTTCATACATCTATCAACTTGCGCCGCCGACAAGAAAACATGATCTTGAGTCTCGACTGGGGTCACCGACAAAGAAGATAAAGACACACTCCTCTCTCTACAATCTAGGATAGCACCATTTGCAGCCATCCAATTCATTCCCACAATTACATCCATACCTCTCAGTGGTAGGATAATTAAGTCCACAGTTGTTTTCCTATTTTTAAACTCGACTACTAGGTTAAGGCATGCCTTAGCGGTCCTCACAGATTCTCCCGCAGGAGTAGACACATTCATATCAAACGGTAAAATACACACAGGCAAATCAAGGTTCTTTACACAAGTTTCAGAAATAAAAGAGTGTGTAGCACCCGAATCAAATAGTGCAACAATATCATGATGAAGGATTTTGATGTTACCTCTAATGGCATCTGGGGAGTTCATGGTGTCCTGAGTAAGAGCAAACACACGACCAGAGACAGTAGGATGTTGGGAAGGGTTCTTCATATTTGAGCCCTGGTTGTCCCCACAAAACTTTGCAATGTGACCGGGTTTCCCACAAATGTAACAGATCCAGCACTGTCCGAAATGACGACGCCCGCATTTAGTGCACTGTTGAGAGCTCGCTGTACTCGGGGCAGGGGTAGATACTGTTGGGCTCCTCTGTGACCCGTAATAACTACTATGATAGCTCCTCTGTCCTTGGCCCATTTGAAATGGACCCTTCTGCCTTCCTTGGTTCCATGAGCTACTCGAACCCTGATGGTTTTTCTTCATAATGCCTCCGGTGGGTCGAGGGTAGGTTGGGGGTCTACTATATGAATAACCCCTCTTCTCTCTCTCAACCTCCTTCTTACTGCGAGCTACTACTTGTAGTTTTATGCACATTTCATCATAATCTCGGATATCTAGATGAGCCAATTGTTCCCTCAATTCTGGTCTAGCCTTCTCCAATAAGCGCTTAGCCTTCCATTCGGAATCATCCCTATACTGCAGGTACGTGGAGTATCTAGATAACTCCTGAAACTTAGCAATGAATGTGTCCTCATCGAGGTTCCCTTGCTTAAAGGCATGGAATTCCGCTTCCTTCTCAGACCTTAACTCTGATGGAAAGTAATGCCTGAATAATTTTTCCTTGAATTCCTCCCAGGTGAGTGTAGAATCATCCCTGGGCCCTGCTGTCTCCCACCAATCTCTTGCTCCTTTCACTAGGAGCACTAATGCTACTTGTACTTTTTGATTGCTGGTGCATGTGACTACTCGAAAGATGGATTCGAGTCTCTTCACCCATTCCTCTACCACGGATGGTTTAAGGTTACCATCAAACGTAGGAGGGTTAAACTTCCTAACAGTTTCCCACACATCAGTAATGGTCGGTGGGGCTCTCTGTTCCTCCTGCCTAATTTCTTTCCTTCTAGACTCATGATCTCTCAGAGTGGCAGGATGTGAGGAACTGCCTTCCCCCACATGACTCTCAACATGAGCCCTATCTCCATTTTCAGTTACCTTTTGCCTCTTTAGCTCCGTCAACTCTTGTTCGTATCCTTGAACCTTGTCTGTTAATGTTTTTACAAGCATTCTTAATTCCGCCAAGTCAGGCTCCTCATTTGGCAGTGGCGGTGGCAGGTGCTCATGTTGGAATCCTGAGTTACCACGAGTAACAGGCATTTTCTCTCCCCTCCTAAAGGATACAAGATATAAATAATAAAATTAGCCTAGCTATATCATGGCCATACAATGAGAAGCACCATAACAATGTATATTGCCAACCGACTATATGCTCTGATACCAATATGTAACACCCTCAAATTTACAAACCGATTTTTCGCAAGTTATTAATTCAAGAAATTATTTTTTTTTTTCATTGAACCCTTATCATACCCTTATCATGGTAGAAAAATTTCTACCATGATACATCCAAGACAATATACCACAGGTCTTGAAATATCTCAAAAAGCAATTAGAACCATGAGGGACAGACATGATCCTCATAGCATGTTATTTAAATTAGGTCATGAATCAAAAGGGACAGACATAATCCTCTTGGACATATAAATGCATTTAATAAAAAGGATTAGAGTTTACATGCTCCATAGACAAGATATGTCCTAAGTTGGCACAAGATACATTGTATAATTCAAAATAAGAGGCAACGTAAAAGATGGTGTCTCATACACCATAATTACACCTCTGGTGCTTTCTCGGCCGGATTCGCTCCTGTAAAAATATTAACCACGGGGAATGAGACTTAAAAGTCTCAGTAACCAAAAATTAATATGTAATGATGCATGCGGATGTAACTAATCATGCGATTGCTAAGTGGGCACACAAAACATTTAACCGAACAATATTTTCAAACAAACCGAACAAGTATTTAATTGCATGACTGCACCTTATATCCTCCTTTCACCATGCTCGGACGCCAAATCACCCGGCCAAAGGTGAGTTGGACCAAGCGACACGCCACTCATTGAGTCCAATGAGGGCTTACCACGTGGTAATAATTAACCGAACAGAAATTCCCATTAACACCATACATTAAAATACCCTGACAAGTCATGCATCATTCAAATATCCAAACAGGAATATATCCGAACAATAATATCTCATCATGATAAACAAAAATAAATTTTTAACCCACTTGGCAATAATTTCAAACAAGTATATACAGTATTTATTTTCAATAATTCATAATTTTTCCAAACAACAAAACAACACATAACCATTCACAAACACACTCATCACAACACATTAATAATGGTTACCTTGTGTCTTGAATAACAAGTTCCCCTTCACAACTCCTTTTTCACCACTATCTTTGTCAATATAATCTACATAATTATTTCACAATACTATATATTAATTTTACATTAAAATAAATAACTCTAATTTAAAGAGTTAGAAAGTCTTAAATCTATAGTCCATATTAACACTAATTTAAGATTTATGCCTTATTTAACTTCCCAAATTCTTTTCTAAAATTCTCGTACCCTAATGAACTATTTTTTTTTTATCCTCAATTCACTTCTAGTATCACAATTTCATCCTTCTACATTCTAAAAATTCATCCAAAAATAAATTAAAAATTTTAGAATTATCCTGAAGCCTCAAATCTCCTTTCTATAACCTCAAAAATACCTATTCATACTTAAATAAATATTTAATAATCATAGATTTATCCCTACATCTCAGATTCCACATAAATTCAACCATATAGATCTAGATTTTAACTCAAAAATTCTTAAACATGAGTTTCAACCTTAAGAAAATATTCTATAATATTTACTATATCCCTAAGAATTTTAACCTATATTTTTAATCCATCATATCATCAGATTAACTATCCTATAGAAAAATCCTAATCAAAATATTTACTCTATCCTACAAAATAATCATATCACTAGAAAGCTAATATTATTTAGAAAATAACTATAAAATTAATTTTGTAATTAAATAAATTTTTAAATGCTAATCTAAACAGGAAAGTTAGAACATACCTGAAGAAAAAAAAAAATAATCCCCCCTTGCGAGAAAACGCCGAGCAACGTGAGAGGAAGAGAGAAAAATAATATAAAAATGGGATTGTGAGTCCCAAAATTATATTAAAAAAAAACTATAGGTTTGAATTTAATTATTCAAACCTTTGGGTCCAAAGTTGCAATTTTCTCTAAATTGCATCTTAGCCTCTCATGCTTCCTAATGCACACACCCCCTCCTTTTTATACATGAAGGCACCTCTTCTCTTCCCTCATCTAACCAATGTGGGACTTAGAAACAACAACCTTCCACCCCCCCTTTTTTTGTTCTTTCTACCTTCTTTTTTTTTTTTTAACACACACATAAAAAAAATTATTTATGTATTATATCTTAACTAAATATTGCTTATGTGATTTTAAATTTAAATTTTTAAATTCATAATTAAATACCTAATCATAATATTATTTCTAAATAACCTCAAATAATATAAATTCCTATTATTATCATTTTTTTTTCCTCAAAACCTAAATTCCACAATTTCTTTATTATATAAAAATCAGGATGTTACATCTCTAATTAAAGTAGCTCATAAACATGCAACTCTTTGATAGCATTGGTGTTACTATACCTACGTAGTTGATGGAATTGAACATGTTCAGGGGCCTCTTTACCGGTACCTTACAATGTCACCACTTCTCCCTCTTGTGAGAATTTCAACTGAGCCATGCTATAATAAATAATAAAAAAAGTGCTCTCCTAACATGGCCAGCCATCTGGCTGTTAACACCATCATAGCCTATAGCCTCCAGTATGAACGCACCAACTTTCATGGGAACCCTTAAATCTGGAGAGGAAGCTCTTAGATAATCTAATTCCCATGTAAATAACTCTTGCCACTAGCTGATAAGCCTAATTTGTATGGGCCTCAAATTAACTAAGCTACAACTTAAATGTGTATATGGTTCAACTTAGGTCATTCTTCCCAATAAGTTGAATTGAGATTGATTTTAGAACTAATTCTTAAGTGAATAAACAGCAGCAAAAAGTTTTGATTCAATTACCTGAACAGCAATTAAAATTAACCTAAACTAGTATTTTCCACGCTTTTTAAGTTTTTATGAAAATTGAGTGAATGTGTTCAATTAAAAATAGTAAATTTTTTAGAGTTTAGTGGAATGAAATTCTTGTCACAACTGTTTAATTGACTAAGCTTTCATTTTCATTAGTCTTATGCCCAAACAACCACTTGAACCTGGCAAGCATAGTTACCATACAATTTTAGAATTCTAGCAATCTCATGACAAACTAAACTTGCTCCATTAAGCTCTTAATGTGTTATTTGCCATTGGACTAGTTAGAAACAGCCACAAACTGTACCTAATTTGAAATTAAACAATTGACTACATCCAATTTAAGTTTCCAATGATTTAACAATACAATCACACCATTTAATCCATTGGGCCAATTCTAGAACAAGGAAAGCATGTTAATATAGCAATGAAGATCAAAATTCCAGCATAGAATCCAACATTCCAATAGCCAAAATACAAGTTCTCCTCAATTAAGTGTCTCAATCATTTTATCAATTAAATTTAAGACTCAACTAAAGCCCAATAACACAAAGTCCTGTAGATAGTCTATCTTACTTGTATTTACTCCTATTCTTTATTTCTGCCACATGGCATTGCGTGTATTCTCTAGGGTGATGTGTCATAATTATATAAGGTAATGTTTACACTTGTACACTGCAGCCGACAGTAATACAATACTTTTTTCTCTCAATTCTCATCTCTATCAAATACTTCAAGTGCACTAATTACAATCCTCCAAACGAAATTAGGAAATCTAAGGAAATAGCAACCAAAATAGAAAAGAAAACTAGAAATAAAATTGCTTAGACTCTTTGAAGATCAAAGACTCATGCATATCCACTTTACTCCTTGGAATCCAAGTGAATTTAGCCACGTAATTCCATCACGGATCTTCTTCCAAAGGATGTTGAACCCACGGCCATGATGAGAAAGATTGAAGCGTGCGAATTGAAAAGTTGGAAGGTAGAGGCTGTGACTCTTGCAAGGTTTTGAATCCGATGGAGAGTGGAATTGTTTGATTGGAACTTGTGACAAATTGCAGAAGCAGGACGGAACAGGATATAGAGACGAAGAGAAGTGGAGAAATGATGAGAGAAAAGACGATCTCGCGTGCGTGGGAAGCAGGACGTTTGTGTTCTATCTCCTCAATCAGAAGTGAATGGATAAATTCATGAAATTCAATGGGTGAGTGGTGAGCACGTGACCAAGAATTGAATTGGTGGAAAATAAAAACAATGAATTCATGTGACGGTCGAAAAGAAAAATTGAAGGTGAATGAAGCGTTAAACGTGGATGAATCAACAATGACTTAGGGAAAATACTTTAAAA